CCAGGCACACACACACACACACACACACACACACACACACACACACAGGGGAACTACTCTGACCTCCACAGGAACCAGGCACACATGCACACATACAGAGGAAACACTCTGACCTTCACAGGAGCCAGGCATATGTGTGCGTGTGTGCGTGCTCACACACACACACACACACACACACACACACACACACACACGGGAGACATTCATGCATGTAAAATAAAATAGATAAACCTTTAAAACATTTTTAAGTTCCTTAAAAGGTGATGATGTAGGCCTGGAATTTCAGCTACTGTAGAGGCTGAGACAGGAGGATGACCAGTTAAGTTCCATCTGAACTGCACAGGATGACTGTATAAAAACAAAGCAAAACTATATAAAAGAGGACAGGCCAAATGACTTGGTGGATAAAGGTGTTGTCCCCACTGAGGTCGATGATCTGAATTGTGTTTCCTGAACCCATATGAAGATGGGAGGAGAGAACCAAACAGAAAGTCCTTTTCTGACTTCTATACGTGTGCCGTGGCACACATGTGTTCCTCCTTCTTATCACACAAAATAAAGAAATGTAATAAGAATCTAAAACATTGAGCCAGGTAGTGGTGGTGCACGCCTTTAGTCCCAGCACTTGGAAGGCAGAGGCAGATGGATCTCTGTGAGTTGGAGGCCAGCCTGGTCTACAAGAGAGCGTTCCGGGACAGCCAAGACTGTTACAAAGAGAAACCCTGTCTCGAAAAATAAAACAAAGCAAAAATCTAAAACATCATAATAATAGCAAAGTTGTGGATGTAGCTCAGCGGTAGAGGCTCTAAATTCAATCCCTAATGGGGGACAAAAGGACTTGTGGAGGAAGCTTGACCTCCATCTCTGAAGAAAGTGTCATTCTCATCTCACCCATCAGGGGGCGCTACAGCCCCTCCGCAGGTCCCCATCTCCATCCTGCCTGCACTTCTTCCTTCCGTCCACCACTCGTCTTCGATGTTCCCAAAGCCTCTTGATTTCTCCTCAGCGCTGCCAGGGCACTTTGCTCCTCTCCCCGGACAGGAGGGACTTTCCAGTTTACCTTATCTATCCCAGGTTTATTTGTTTTCCTTATCTGTACTGCTGTGAGCAGCCCTGACTTATCCCTGAGCCTCTCACCCCGGCATTGGTCCCCCACAAAGGGTTGGACAGTGAATGGCAAATGAAGGAAAATGCACAGAATCCCCGAAGTGAGGGGCTTGGGGAGGGTGCAGTGGTAGAGCAAATGCATGGAGGATATGATTGGTGTTAAATGAAACCCGACACAGCCCTGTGTACAGAACACAGGGTCCCTGAGCAGGGGAGGAGACAGGCAGGGTCCAGTCGTTCCTCGATAATTTTTCCTGGTGTTCATGTCCTCATTTGGGAAGCCAGGAGGGAGATACTCTGGAAGACTTCCTTGTTCTAGGACCCTGGTAATCTACACACCCGAGGGTCCATCCTTTTGTCTTCTCTTCTTCCTCCTTCTTTTTTGTTGGATCTCTCGTAGTCCAAGCTAATTTGAACTCAGACTCACAAAGAATAATCTTGACATTTTGATCCTTCTGCTTGCATTTTCCAAGTGATGGAAGCAGGCACGTGCCATCTCATTGGTCTGGAGTTTCTAGGTTCTTTCTCTTTCTCTCTCCTTCCCTCCTTGTTGCTCTTTGTGATACTGGGACTGGAACCCAGGGCCTCACATACACTAGTCAAGCACTATATACCACTGAGCCACATTTTCAGGCCTTCCCTGGGGCATTCTAGGCAGGTGCTCTACCACTGAGCCACACCCCAGCCCCTCACTGGGGATTCTAGGCAGGGGCTCTACCACTGAGCCACACCCCAGCCCCTCACTGGGGGATTCTAGGCAGGGGCTCTACCACTGAGCCACACCCCAGCCCCTCACTGGGGGATTCTAGGCAGGGGCTCTACCACTGACTCACAATGCTATCACAGCACAGTCTGTGATGAAGGTCTGCTGAATCAATAGACCCTGGAAAGCAATGTGGAACATGGGAAGAAATCACAGGAAGACCTGGAGGAAGATGTTTCCTGTAGAATAAGACTAGAGAAGAGCCTGGTGACATGGCTCATGTCAGTAATTGACACTCAAGAAGCTAAGGCAGGAGGATCACAAGTGTGAGGCAATCCTGAACTATAAAAGGATCTTTTTCACAACTGTCTTAGGGCTTTTATTGCTGCGAAGAAGCACCATGACCATGGCAACTCTTATAAAGGAAAGCCTTTAATTGGGGCTGGCTTACAGTTCCAGAGGTTTAGTCCATTATGGTCATGTCAGGTAGCATGGTGGCAGACAAGCAGACATGGTGCTGGAGACGGAGCTGAGAGTTCTACATCCACATCTGCAGGCAGCAGAAGCAACTGTGTGCTACAGTGTGCTACACTAAGCATAGCTTGAGCGTAGGAGACCTCAAAGTCCATCCTCCGCAGTGACACACTTTGTCCTGTAAGGCGACACCCGCTCCAACAAAGCCACACCTCTTCTAATACCTCCACTCCCTATGAGGCCATTTTCTTTCAAACCACCACATAAATAAACCAGAGACAGGAATCTGGGGCTGCCAGATCAGGGGGAATTTGGAAACCTCCAAACTGAGTCTGGAGGCTATAGGGTGCTCTGGAGTGTTTTAGACCCATAGCAACAGAAATGATGACTGTCTGAGTGTGAGACTGGAGTCTGGGAGGTCCATGCATTACTCAGACTAAGGGGTGTGTGAGAAAGGATGGAGAGGAGGGGCTGGGGATGAACTGTCAGGGATCCTGCTGAGTTGGCATGGCTGGTCTGTGGATTGTCGGAAAGCCGGAAACTGCAGGTTTTTTTTTAAGATTTATTTATTTATTATGTATACAACATTCCTTCCATGTATGCTTGCATGCCAGAAGAGGGCACCAGATCTCATTATAGATGGCTGTGAGTCACCATGTGGTTGCTGGGAATTGAACTTAGGATCTCTGGAAGAGCAGTCAGTGCTCTTAACCTCTGAGCCATATCTCCAGCCCCACCTTTGCAGTTTTGGAAAATCAGTAGGAAGAAAATTCAGGGATTGGCAGGTGGCGGGAGATCAGGGAGAAAGTTCCTGGGGCTCATGGAGGGGGTGGGGGCTATGCATGGGGGCGAGAAGGATGGAGCTGGGCCTTCTGGGAAGGTACTGAGTTTCCAGACTGAAGAGGTGTGCGAGGTGTGGGTACCTGTGACAGCTACAAAATTTGGAGCAAGAATAGATGTTTATTTATTAGAGTAAGGAAAGGAAGGAAAATGAGGGGGAGCGAGTAGAAAAGAACCTGGAGATGATGCAGGAGGATCAAGAGTTTGAAGATGGTCTAGAGAGATGGCTTAGTGGTTAAGAGTGCTGGCTGCATTTCCAGAGGTCCTGAGTTCAATTCCCAGCATCTACATGGCATCTATATACACAGTCATTGGTAATGGGATCCACTGTGCAGATGTACATGAAGACAGCATAATCTTAATAGTAAATCTTTTTTATCTTTAAGGTTTATTTTTAGATATATTGGTGTTTTGCCTGCATGTATGTCTATATGAGGTCACCAGATTCCCTGGAACTGGAATTACAGATATTTGTGAGCTGCCATGTGGTTGCTGGGAATTGAGTCCAGGTTCTCTGGAAGAGCAGCCAGTGTTCTTAACTACAGAGCCATCTCCCCAACCCCCCAAAATTTCTTTTTGAAAAAAGTTTGAGAGGCTGGGCAGTGGTGGTGCAGGTCTTTAATTCCAGCACTCAGGAGGCAGAGGCAGGCAGATCGCTGTGAACTCGAGACCATCCAGGTCTACAGAGTGAGTTTCAGGACAGACAGAGCTGCACAGAGAAACCCTGTCTCAAAAAAAAAAAAAAAGAAAGAAAGATAGAAAGAAAAAGAAAAAAGACTTTGATGACAGTCTAGGCTACATAATCATTCATTCCAGGCTAGCCCAAATTATAATAAATAGCAAAGATATGTGTCAAAATAGAAAATATTTTACCCAAGACCTGATGATGTGTCTTCTCGGTACATTTGCTCCCAACCAGCCATTGAAGACGGGGTGTGACTCAGCAATAGAGTGCTTAGAACCTCCCAGTGAGAGGTGGGGGTGTGATTCAGTAGTAGTGCTTGTGAAGACTGAGAGAGAGAGAGGGAAAGTGGGAGGGAGGGAGAGAAAAAGGGAGAGAAGGGGAGGAAGAGTTGGCTTCGTGGGTCGTGAACTTGTCTAGAACGCAGGAAGCCCTGGGTTCCTTAGCCAGCATTGCACAGAATTGGCATGGTGGTGCGCTTGGGAGGCTGAGGCAGAAGGACCGAGAGTTCAAGGCCATCCTTAGCTACCTAATGAGTTTGGGACTAGCGAAGGACCAATGTCTTAAAAGAAAAGCAAAAAGAAAAGGATCAGGCAGGATTATAAAGTGTGTCACTCGACTTCCAGTCTCCTAGGGTGGAGGATGAGAGGTCTGGGTGCCTCTGACCTGGCCCTCTTCCCTCAGATGTGCAGCGGAGGAAGAGCCCAGTGTGTGGCTTTGTGACCCCTCTGCAGGGGTCTGAAGCAGATGAGCACCGGAAACCTGAGGTAGCTGTTGATGGACTGCCCATCCCTCTGCTTATCCACCCAGAGGTTCCTTCCCGCGGCGGGGATTGGGTGTGAGATGGGATATGGGAGGCCCGACCACTTAGGGCATCACCCTGAGCCCTGACACCTGCCCTCCCCCAGGCTGTCGTCCTGGAGGGGAATTACTGGAAGAGGCGCATCGAGGTGGTGATGCGCGAATACCACAAGTGGAGAATCTACTACAAGAAGCGGGTCAGTGGGACTGGCAGGGGCAGAGCATCCCCTTGGGGCATAGAAGAGCCCTAGAGGGGATCCCATGGTCCCACCCTAACCTGTACCCTCGAACCTCCCCTCCCGCTTTAAGTCCCAGCATGGTAGCCACAGGGTTTCCCCAGGGCCAGTTTCTCTCCCTGGGTGGTGGGAAGGGGCGGAGCCTGGGGGGAATGTGGGTGGAGGGTGCGTGGCTCAGTGGGAAGAAGGGATTCAGGGTCCAATTTTGTGTCCCCGCAGCTCCGTAAGTCCAGCAGGGAAGGGGATCTCCTGGCTCCCAAGCAGGTGAGTGTTCAGTAAGTCTTGTTAGGCGTCAAGAAAGGGCATCTGGAAAGTTGGAAACTGAAAAATTGAAAATGGCTGCCTGGTTGACCAGGACAGACTATGGGAGAGGTAACTGGGCATGAGAGGAATGGGCGTGGCCTCCACGTTGGTGTGGGTGCTGACTTCAATTTTCTCTTCTGAGGAAGATCTGTTGTGAGACAGGAGGATTGTAGTGAGTTCCAGGCCAGCCTGATTTAGATTATGAGTCCAGTGCCAGTGTAGACTGCAGAGTGAGAACTCCTTAAAAAAAGCAGTGGTGGCGCATACCTTTAATCCCAGCACTCGGGAGGCAGAGGCAGGCGGATCTCTGTGAGTTCGAGGCCAGCCTGGTCTACAAAACTAGTTCCAGGACAGGCACCAAAAACTACAGAGAAACCCTGTCTCGAAAAACCAAAGAAAGAAAAAGAAAAGAAAAAAGAAAAGCAAACCAAACAAACAAAAAGAAAAAAGAAAGAAAGAAAAGCAAACAGATGGTGGGAGGACTAAGGGAAAGGCATCCACAGGATGGAAGTTTCAGACAGAAGAAACCAGCAGACGGAAAGCCAGGCTAAGGTGGAAGCAAGAGGATTGCAAACTGAAGGTCAGTTCAGGATCTCTGAAGCTAGCTTAGAGGCTGTCTTCAAGAACAAAAATAAAAACAACTGAGACTTGGCTTATTGGTGCATGCCAACAATGCTACCGCTTAGGAGGTAGAGGCGGTAAGGTGGAGAGTTTAAGGCTATCCTCTGCTACACAGAGAGTCCGGGCTAGCCTGGGCTACATGAAATCCTGCCTCCAAAAATTAAAGCCAACAAGATGGGATGGTGCGTGCTTTTAATCCCAGCGTTTGGGAGGCTGAGGCTGTTGGGTCTTTGTGGGTTTGCAGCCTGGGTTACATAATGTGTTCCAGGCCAACTAGGGCTATATAGTGAGACTCTACCTTTTTTTGTTTTCAAGACAAGGTTTCTTTGTATAACAGCCGTGGCTGTCCTGGAACTCTCTCTGTAGACCAGGCTGTCCTTGAGCTCACAGAAATCCTCCTGTCTCTTCCTCCCAAGTGCTAGGATTAAAGCTGTGTGCCTCGACTGCCTGGCTGAGGCTCTATCTTTAAATAAATAAATAAATAAATAAATAAATAGCCAAACTACAGCCTAGAGAGCAGGAAGAGCTATTGACTGACCATCCTGGTGTGCATGGAGGGAGTTGTTAGAGGTTAGTAGGATGGCCTTGACCTTCAGCTGGTAAGCCAGGCCCTCCAAGGTGCTGTCGTCTTTAGGGCTTTCTCTCCAGGGTGGGGGATCACCTCAACCTCAGGCAGGGGTAACATGGAGGAGCAGGGCAGTGACCTCTGTGTCCTGCCAGGTGGAAGGTGGGTGGCCGCCACCAGAGCGATGGTGCGAACAGCTCTTCTCCAGCGTGGTGCCCGTGCTGCTTGGAGGCTCCGAGGAGGAGCCCGGGGCTCGACAGCTTCTGGACCTCGACTGCTTCTTGTCCGATATATCCGACACGCTCTTCACCATGACACAGCCCAGCCCCTCGTCCCTGCAGCTGCCCCCAGAAGATGGTGAGGAGAGAAAGGGGAAGGGGGAGAGGGGCTGAGCCACCTCCCCTGCCTGCAGCCTCCAACCTCACGGTGATCTTCCCTTCAGCTTATGTTGGCAATGCTGACATGATCCAGCCAGACCTGACGCCACTGCAGCCCAGCCTGGATGACTTCATGGAGATATCAGGTGGGACAGGCCCTTCATCAGGAGGAAGGACAGACCGAAAGGGTCAGTCTAAGAAAAAAAATCCTGGGAGACTATAAGGCTTTGTGTAGTGGGAGGATGAACAAACGGTGTTGTAATTGTGTGTGTGTGTGTGTGTGTGTGTGTGTGTGTGTGTGCTTGTACATATGTGGTGTTCCCAAGAGCTCATGCCTACTAGGCAGAGGCTTTATCACTGAACCACGCCCCCCAGCCCCTCACTGGGGGATTCTAGGCAGGAGCTCTATCACAGATCCTTTATGGTCTAGCGTGGGAGAGTCCTTGGGTTTAATTATGAGCACTTCATAAGCCACTGTGACTGACAAGAGAATTCTAGGCATCAAATCTCTCTGAGCCTTTTTTTCCTTGAGGTAGAGTTTCTCAGTGTAGCCCTGGCTTTTCTGGAACTCACTATGTAGACCAGACTGGCCTTGAACTCATAGTGATTTGCCCACTTTTGCTTACTGAGTACTGGGATCAAATGTGCGTGCCACTACATCTGGCTTAGAAGCATTAAATCTCTTAAAGCGGGGCTGGAGAGTTGGCTCAGCGGTTAAGAGAGAGCACTGGCTGTTCTTCCAGAGGACCAGGTTCAATTCCCAGCAACCACACGGTGGCTCACAACCATCTGCAATGAGGTCTGGTGCCCTCTTCAGGCCTGCAGACAGAACACTATATATATAATAAATAAAAATTTATCTCTTTAAGCATTTTAGACACTGGTAAGTTTCTCAGACTCCTCTCTTTTCCCAGGCTACTGAGTTACTGATGTGTTTCCAGAGATCCTGTCACACATATCAGTGTGAGCCCCTGAGGGCAAAATCTCTTTCTTTCCCTCTCCTGTCTCTGGTTTTTCTTTTGAGACAGGTGTCTTAGTTAGGGTTTTATTGTCATGTGGCCATGGCAACTCTTATAAAGGAAAGCATTTAATTCGGCTGGCTTACAGTTCAGAGGTTTAGTCCATTGTCATCAGGGTGGGATATGGCGGCATGTAGGCAGACACGGTGCTGGAGCGGTAACTGAGAGTTCTACATCTGGATCTGCAGGCAGCAGGAAGAGACCGTGACACTGGGCCTGGCTTACCCTTCTGAAACCTCAAAGCCCGCACGCACCCAGTGATACACTTCCTCCGACAAGACCCCACCTCCTCCAACAAGGCCAACTTCCAATCATGCCACTCCCGATGAGCCTACTGGGGCCATCTCATTCAGATGTCCACCCCAGTTTTCTTTCTGTTGTTGTAACAGATACTCTGTCAAAAAGCCGCGTAGGGAAGGAAAGGGTTTAGCTTCCCTTCTGGGAAGTCCATCACTGAGGGAGGTCAGGGCAGGAACCATGGAGGCACCATGGAGGAACAAGGTATGCTGCTTAGGGTCCTCGTTGGGATGACCGTTGCTATCATGAAACACCATGACCAACAGCAGCTTGGGGAGGAAAGGGTTTATCTGGCTAAACTTCCTGCATCACAGTCCCTTGCTGAGGGAAGTCAGGACAGGAACTCAAACAGGACAGGAACCAGGAGGTAGGAGCTGATGCAGAGGCCATGAAGAGGTTGCTGCCTATTGTTGGTTCTTCATGACTTGCTCAGCCTGTTTTCTCATAGAAACTTGGGTCCCCTGCCCAGGGGAGACTCCAGCCACAATGGCCTGGGCCCTCCCCTTTCAACCACGAATTATGAAAATGCCCTACAGGCTTGCCTACAGCCTGATCTTAAGGAGGCGTTGTCTCAATTGGGCTCCTTCAAGTAGACATAAAATGAACCGGCACAATTAGATACCTCCTACTTCAATTAACAATCAAGACAGACAGACAGCCTGATCTAAGCAGTCCCTCGGTTATGGCCCCTTCTCAGGCTACTCTAGTAAACCATCAAGTTGACAGATAGAGTTAGCTAGGTTACGGGTCTTATGCAGTCCAGGCTGGCCTCAAACTTGCTGATGCCAAGGCTGCTCTGGATCCTCCTGTCTCTACCTCCCGTACTGGCATTAGAGGACTAGAGTGTGTATTTATTACCATGCCCAGAGCGTATGCCCTCTCCTCCCCGTCCCTCTATCCGCCACAGCCCACTTACTTGAGATAGACTTTCACTATGTAGCCCAGGGTGACCTTGAACTCATGATCCTTCTGTCTCAGACTCCTGAGTGCCTGGATTCCAGGTGTGGGTCACAAGGCCTGATACTGCTTGCTCCCTGTTTCCAATGGGGTCTTCCTTCCCCACAGTACTGTATTTTTTTCTTTGCTGATTGTGTTTCTCTCTTTCTTTTTTTATTGTTGTTTGGTTTGTTTGTTTGATTTTCGATACAGAGTTTCTCTGTGTAGCCTTGGCTCTCCTGGAACTCATTCTGTAGATCAGGCTAGCCTCGAACTCAAGAGATCCTCCTGCCTCTGCCTCCTGCATGTATTTCTAGCTCATTGCTCTTCATAGACATGCATTTAGGAGCCTTCAAAGCCATGCTGGGGGTCACCTGGGAGTCAGAAAAATATCAGGGCTGAGCCTGTCTCGCTCAGACTTGAAGAGCAGAGTCTTTGAGAGAGAAGTTTCTTTCAGTGACATGTCCCCTTCCAAGCTCCTTCCTTACAGGGTCCTGGGCCTGCCATTCAAGAGGTGAGGCCTATCACATGGGTACTAGGGAATGAGGAACCACCCCTACCCCCACCGCCTGCCTTAGTCCTGGGAGGGTGGGGTCTGCCATGGGCAGAAGTGTTGATGGCAGTGCCCTGGAAGCCGGCCTGCCCCCAAGGACAGCAGTTCCATCTTGTCCCACAGACCCCTACCACAGGTAGGAGCTCAGCTGCGCCCACCCAGGCTCTGGGCAAAATGCAGAGGGGTGGGAGTTTGCAGTGGACGATGTTTGCGGGAGAGCATGGCTCTTCCAGAGCAGGTGGCTACAGTGACCCTCTGGAGCTGGCCCTGCTCGGGGAGAGAGAGCCTTGAGCCACCAGGGTTTCCATTCTGTCCTCGTTCTGGAAACCCCGTTGAAGGTGCAAAATTCTACAGAGGCCGGGGGCTGGGTAAGGGCAGGTGCAGGGACAGAGGGTGGTTGGTTAGTGTGGGGACCAGGCCCAGAAAGAACTGGGGCTTGATGGGAAGCACTCTGGAGGCCACCTGGAACAAGGTGGTTGTTTTGGCATGATGTGTTTGCCACAGGACAATGCTCTAATCTTGGATTTCGTGTGGCCCTTGGGGGATAGGGGTGGAACTCTGGTGACTACTTTCTGGTTCCTCCGTAGATCCTTTTGTGAAAAGTGGGGGCACAGGGCAACATACAACCACTTCTGATACTGGGAGAGATGTGGGCATGGCAGGTGTGTCCTCAGTCACGTCAGACATCCAGGGACAAGGCAGACAGGTGCTTCCTGTCACCGCATCCTGATACTCAGAACCTGTTTGGTTTTTCTGGCCAGGCCGAATCACCTAAGACAAACACCCATGCGTATACACACATGCCATGCACAACACATTTGCAAGCTTAAACACATATTTATACACACATATCACCACATACATACACAAATGCACACACATACATACAAAACTACCACACTCATACATGCTCATACACATGGGTAAACACATAAGCACATATACATGTACACACATAGCAACATGCATATATACCATAAACATACACAAACATATAGAAGCCTACATGTATACATACATGCACATACACATGTACACAGCATGCACATGTGTGTATATATGCATGCACGTGCATACTTTCACATATATACACGTGCTCTCGGGCATGTATGTACACATATGCACACACATATACATATTACACTTCCATATACGCTCTCAACATTCATATACACACAAATACACATACCACATAGACACACACATACCATATAGGCATATATATATGCCCACCCTGACCCTATGACCTTCTCGAGCTCACTTGGTCTTGAGAGGTGGCTTGTGTTAAAAGGTCTGACTAGCTCTCCTGGCTTGGGATTCTGGAGGGAAAATGAGGGAACACAGCTCACCAAACCCTATGGGGAGCTACCATGGTCTGTTCTGACCAGGATCTTGGGCACAGAACACATGCTGGTCAGGGTCAGAGAAAGGTGCCCGGAAGGGAGCGGGTAGGCGGGTGTCGCCCCAGCCCGGGATGTGGTTAGGCTGTGAGCAGCCTGCTTCCCAAAACCAGAATAGCCCAGAACTTACACAACCCATACCCTAAACAATCTGGCTGCCTTGCCTGCCTCTCCTATAAACTTTTCAGGCTTTCTGGCTCCCTAGCACTCACACCCCAACTCTGAGCCCACTCTGTGTTCCCCAAATATCAGCCCAGGCTCCGCTCTTACAGCCTCAACTAAATGATCTTCCAACAAGTCTAACCTATGCCTGACCCACTGACCTCATGAACCTGCTCACCCTTGATTCATCCCTGACACACTGAGGCAACTCCCCTGTACCCCACCTTTTTCCTTCCCAGAACCTCTCTATGACCTCTTCTTTCTAGAATGCCAACAGTGCTAAAAAGAGGAGCAGACACAGGGAGAGGAAGTTAGCCCAGTTTGGGGCTCCATGGGTGGGCAGCTTCCTGGGGTCCCTGCTCACTCACTCCCAGAGCCCAGCATCTCTCCCAGGACCATCCTGCCAATCTCCTACCGGTCTCTAGTGCAGCTTCCCCTGAGTGTGACAGACACCGTTTCACAGTCTCTCATGGAAGTCTTCCACCTCTCCTGGTCCCTACCTATCCTACCTCTGCCCAGCATGGAGACTGTATCAAAGGCCTAGCCTGAGTCCTTAATATCATTTGCTCCCCTGTGTGTCCCGATTACAGATTTCTTCACCAATTACCGCCCCCCGCAGCCGCCCACATCCTCAAACTTCCTGGAGCCCCCCAGCTTTGGCCCCATGGCTGACTCCCTCTTCAGCAGTGGAATCCTGTGCCCAGAGATGCCACCTTCAGCCTCTGCTTCCTCCTCCTCGGGGATGACCCCTCTCTCAGGGACTACCCGCCTACAGGTGAGTGTGTCCTGTTTTGCGCAGCCTTCCCAGGACGCCTGAGAGCTAGCGCTGGCTCTGCCTGGGGCCAGGAAGTAGCTAAGCACTTTCTTGGGCAGCCAGGAAGAGATCTTGGGAGAGCACAGCCAGCAGAGAAGACCCTACAAAGCAGAACTAGATGAACCGAATGAGAGAGAGGTAGAGGAAGGCAGAGTGCGTACGAACCACAGAACAGGGCACAAACCAGAGGAGGGTTTTCTTGTCATTGTTTTTTAGTTTGGGTTTTAAGACAGGGTCTGCCTCAGGACCCTGGGTGGCCTTGAACTCACAGAGATCAGCCTGCCTCTGAGTGCAGGTATTAAAGGTGTGCGCCACCCTGCTTGCCCAACGTTCTGGGTCTGAGTGACTGAATGGGCTGGTGAAGGGCAAGCCAGCTGGGAGGGAGAAGCAGGAATGTGTGCATGGAAGCAGAATGGGAGTGTGTGTTTAGGCAACTGTGAGTTGGTGTCTTGTTTCAGTCCAGAAGTCATTTCCCTGCAATTGTTAGCTATCTCTTCTAGTTTCATTTCCGTTGCTGTGCTAAAATACCCCGAGGGAAAGCAAGTTAGGGGTAGAAAAGGGGTTCCTTTCAGCTAGGTGCCCCAGGTTACAGTCCGTCCA